CATAATACTTTTTTTATGGCATAAGCCGGTAAACGAGCAGACGGATCACCTTATGGTAAGCAATCGGCGTCGCCCATGGACACCTGGAACACCAGAGGCGTTAAAAGTGCGTTACCGGCCTTTTGGGGATTAGGAATTTGAGAATCGTTGGGGATTCAGGGATTAGGGAGATTGAGGAAGGGAGGGTAATTGGGCCTCCGGTAACCTCACTCACACGACGAAACACAACGCAAGCGTTGCTTCACGTCGGTTTTTTATGAGGCCGTGGTATCACTCCGGTCGAGCCGGCCCATTCGTGCTGAAGCATGGCTCTCCCACACTTAAGAAATTAACTTATTTCTAAGGAATCAAAAATAATTTATTTGCTAAAAATGTAGGTAACCAATATGTTGGTATAGAGAATCCCAGTGCATTTTTCCTTACGGCATGCTAAATTATTGAATTAAATTAACTAAAATCGCGAGTTACTCACGTGTAATATATACTGACAAAAGCTCTACTAGTTTCGAACCACAGAGGGGTTCTTCCTTATGAGGAGCGTGCGCGGTAGCGGCGATGTACTGGATATTCACGTATATTCAGTATATTCACGTGAGTAACCCGCGATTTTTAGTTAATTTAGTATGTCTCACGATAGTTATTATAAAAAATATTTTAAAAAATATATGATTTACCTTTATATTACAGTAACTTCAACACAGAAGTGTATATGTTTGCTGAATGGCTGTCAGTCGCCAAGAGGGCGCTGGCGAGGATGTTGGTCATCATCGTCTCCTTAGGATTTGGTATTGTCAAGTAAGTCATCTGGTTTATTGATATTTTGATACAAATTTCAGTGGAGATAGTGAAAAGTGGGTGTTACATTGTACAGTGGCACCTCTGCCTACCCCTTCGTGTATGTGTATTTAAATACATTATTTAGCATCACAAAGTTTGACAATGACTCAAATAAAAAGTAATTTGATATAGAGCACACGGATACCACCATATCAACTATATCTGCATATTAAAACTCATTATGAATTCTATCTAATATTTCTGTACTGTTGATGTAAATTACCAATATTTTGCATACCCAAGCACACCCATGTGGCATAAGGTTCTTTAAACAATGAAATAACTTTAAACAGGTCATTAAAATCGAACAAGACTTAATTCGACAGTAGCGCCGTCTACAAACAGCAAAAACGCCTTATTCCTAATCAGAATAATTAATATACTATTATTTTGTTCGCCAGGCCTCGGCTAGGCCCTGCCCTACAGCGAGTGGTAGGTACAGGAGTGCTATGGGGCATCCTGGGCGGTATCAACGCATGGCTTCGTCTGCACCACAAGGCCAACGACTCCAACCGAGATCTGTTGTTGTCCGAAGTGCCGCTGTCTCTGTTGGACAGCGCCATCTGTTGGTGGGTGTTCGTGTCACTGGCACATACGATGAGGACTCTGCAGTTACGGAGGTGAGCTTTAATTGAACTTAATTACTAATAATGTATCTCTTTTTGACCAACTAATAAAAGTTTTATATAATATGAACGGATGATAGCATCCGTTCATATTTTGAATTCCGAAAGGATAGAGCCGAACAGTTTTCTATGCAATACCTACGTTTTATCAGTTACAAAAAAAATCAGCCAAATCGGTCTAACCATTTTCAAGTTATGGCGTGACAACAGGAAACGGGTTTCATTTTTATATATGTGTCCATTGAGCATAGTTCCATTCTCGTAACTATCTCCAAATCAATACATAGTATAAAACAAAGTCGCTTTCGCTGTATGTCCGTATGTATGCTTAGATCTTTAAAACTACGCAACGGATTTTGATGCGGTTTTTTTTAATAGATAGAGTGATTCTTAAGGAAGGTTTGTATGTATATACATATTGCACCCGTGCGAAGCCGGGGCGGGTCGCTAGTATATTATAAAATCTCCGATGCGACGTGTAATAATAAGAACGTTTATTTGCACGAAGAATGGTAATTACAGGTGGCAATAATTATAAAAAGTGTGGACTAAAATTGAGTGATCGAGTGAAAAATTGTGTTATTAGAGAAAGGTGTGGATTGAAAGATGATGTAGTGACAAGGATTGAAAAGGGAATGTTACGCTGGTTTGGACATGTAGAAAGGATGGATGAAAGTAGAGTAACGAAAGAAGTATACAGAGCGGATATGAATGGGGCCGTCGGTAGAGGGCGCCCTAGACGGACATATAGTGACCAGATTGGCGATATATGAGGTATTAAAGAAGGGCCAAATTAAAAGTACCCTTAACCGACGAGCATGCATGAAAAGATTGATGACTGTTAATGAAGCGAAAGAGGTATGTAAGAATCGTAGTAATTGGCGTTCCTTAGTCTCTGCCTACCCCAATGGGCGACAGGCATGAAGTTATGTATGTATGTATGTATAAAAAGTTGTCCCACATACATCGCCTACTGTTTTCGGCATGTAAAGTTAAATGTTACAATTAATAAAGTGAAAATGTTACAATTAATAAAGTAAAAATGTTACAATTTACAGGAAGTAATACAAACAAACTGTCGCAATAGTTATAAGTATTAATCAAGATAATAATTATGTGGTATTGTTTCAGAAACAACATAAAGTTGTCGTTGTACAGACACTTTACGAACACGCTGATATTCGCGGTGATATCATCCGTCGTGTTCATGTTGTACTCTATCAAGTCGTACCGAGTGCTTCCCTGTATTACTGTAAGTGGAATTACTTATTTTGAACGCTATAATATTTTCTTTCATGTGATTGGGGCAATGAGCAGATAGATCACCCGATGGTATTGGGGCCTATCGTATTTTTGTTGGCGCTAGTGTGAACTTCTCGTTCTTCATCCAATACACAATTCCAGACTCCGTGATACTACTGAGATTTAAAAAACCCAGTAATACTTTGCCCGACCCGGGAATCAAACCCGAGACCCCTTGCCCGGCAGTCGCACTTGCGACCACTCGGCAAACGAGGCAGCAATGCGTTAAAGGGCTGGCCTGTCGTGGTTATGGATTTAGGATAGGAAGATCGGGGACGTCGTTTTCTGGGAGGTCGTGGTATCACTCCAGTTGGCCCATTCGTAGTGAAGCTGACAAGACAGCCGGCCATTTCGTCAACGTAACTGTGGAATTACGGTGACGAAATGACCGGCTGTCTACAGTTTTAAAAGTTCAGGTTTATCACAAAATGCTGTGAGTGAGACGATAGAAAAATTATAGACTAGCTGTGCAGGTTGTCTGCGACTCCGTCCGCGTAGGATATGAATTTTAGGACATAAACTTTTTATGATTCAATTTTCCAAAATAAAAGTAGCCTATGATACTCTTTAGTACATTAGCTACCTGCCAATATAAGTCCCGTCAAAATCGGGCCATCCATTCCAGAGATTAGCCAGTACAAACAAACAAACAGACAGACAAAAATTCAAACAACACTTATTTTGGTATTAATCGTATGTATTCATATGCATGTATTAAAATGTGGTGGTTTTAATATTACAAACAGACGCTTCAATTTTATTTATCTGTATAGATGATACATGACGATTTAAAATAACTAATGATGTATTTTCTCTGCTAGGAATGGAAAGAAGTATGGATGGACGAGGCGTATTGGCACATGTTGTTTGCTAGCGTGCTGACCGTCATCATGATCCTGTGGCGACCCACCAACAACAATCAACGATACGCATTCACGCCACTACTTGATAACGCTGACGATGACGAAGGTATGAATATTTAAAACATATATTTTCCTAATTCTAGTAGTGGAGAATGCCCATGTTAAAGTTCACTTATCATCAACCAGCCTATAAATGCCCACTGCTGAGCAAAGCCTCTTCTCACACGGAGAAGGTTTGAATGTAACATTCACTTTTCACTATTTATGTTATGAGTCCCATGTAATAGGGGGTGAGCCTATTGCCATATACCGGGTACAAAACTCCGTGCTACTACTGAAAATTTTTAAAAACCCAGTAATACTTTGTTCAACCCGTTGCCAACGGGTCGAACAAAGTCGCATTTGCAACTACTCGGCCAACGAGGCAGTCTTAGTAATGTAACTATAAAAAATAATACTCCTATTTCATTCTTATTTAACAAAGTTAATATTCTCCCACAACAGAAGAAGAAGAACAGTTTGTAAACGACGCGTATGGCGTGAAGATGCGCGGCACGAACTCAACGACCGACACAGCTGAGGCGAGGGACGCGCAGGAACAAAACAACACGTTAGACTCCGACCTACGCTGGGTGGAAGAAAACATTCCTACGAGCACGCTGCCACTACTCGACTCCGACGAAGAAATCATTAATACAAAGTTTGAAGTGTCTAAAATGCAGTAATTACTTAAGTCAAGTGTGTATAAAGTATTATGTAACTGTGATATGTGTTTTTGTTGCTCTTACTTAACTTAAATACCCATGCTGAGGCCTTAGTACGAGTTTGTTCTACGTTTAAAGTAATCGTAACGAGTACGCATTCGGCGCTCTGATTGGTTGCTTCATTGGCGCCGGCCAATCAGAGCGCCGAACGCATACTCGTTTCGAATACTTTAAACGTAACACAAACTCGTACTAAGCCCTCTGTTAGCTCAGTGAGTTTATGCGATCGAAACGTTACAGCGTTCAGCTTACTAATTGGTTGTTTAACTTGCAGCTGGCCAATAAGCAACGAATAGCATAAACGTGCGAATTGCGTAAATTAAAACAAACTCGATATTGCCAAACATGGTTTCAATGGTTTGTCTTGGTTGTAACGACTTCCTAAATATAGAATCTAACGTTCCAATAAATAATAATGTTATTGTAAATTGTAACAGGATAAAAAATTATATCAATTTTTTTTGTACAAAAAAAGCCGTTGAAATTATATCCAAGATTCATCTCCATAACATGATTGGTATAGTGTTGTACCTAATAGTAGGTAGAGAAGGCAATGCTGTCAGTAAAATAAATTACTCTCATCACTAAGACAGAAGAAAATCGCAACAGAACATATCATTTTTTTATTAATAAAATATGTAAATTGATCTAAATATGAATTTAAACTAATTTCTTACTATTTAGAGTTCCATTTCATTAAGATTTCACTTGGTTGTACGACTGGTCGCGCAACCAACAGTAAGTATGTATAATTAGTTGAATGGAGGGTTGCGCAACCAAATCAACCTTTGTTTCGATAACTCTTGCTTCGTATTTAGTAGATATAGATAACACGGTTCGACCGGTCGTCTGACCAGTGTCCCGACGATTACGACGAGTACTCATTTATATCAAACATAATATTTTCCAAATTATTATTTTTATTCCAATTAGGTATATACTTTTGTAGCCAAACTATTCCATGTACCTATTAAAGATTATTTAGTTTTAAGATGGGCTACCTCAAAAATGCATGAGAAAAATCAAATTATTAAGCTTTAGATGTAAGTTAATTTCTCAATTACAAATAAAAACAAAGTAATAGCTTTAAAACTTTTATTTATACATACACATTTAAATATATTTGTTCTTTAGACATGATCTTTGGTATATAAAATATAATATTGGTAAATGGCCACAATACATTAGGTTAAAATGGAAGTTAATAGAATTCAGTCGATACAGCATAAATGGAAAGTCAGTAATACATTTTAACAATAATTTAATATTTAAAATATAAGAAACTATCGTCTATAATTAAAATACTTTGTGCTCTCTTACAAATGTAATGGAAAACATTGTTTTGGAAATCATCGTGGGAAGATAGATTTGTCTTTTTATTCTTTCATCACTAGTTTTGTTGAGTTATTTATGCGACTATAGTTGGTTTTATACGAAACTGAAAATTAAAAAATAAAGTACTTGGTATTGTCATAAAATCGCACAATGTTGTATTTCTTTACGTCCTGCAGCGTCGTCAGCTACACTGCTATGTAAAATATACTTATTTACATATTTAAATGATATTCACACATTCATATTTCGTTCCTTACGCAGGTAGGTAGAACTATTAGTAACTCAACAATCCCGTATATGAATCTCATTAATATTCAGATGTCGACGTCGCGTCAGCCCGCGGAAGTACGTATCCACCGTGATGCACCTATACAAAATAACGATTCCTAATTTGGTATCTTATTCGATAAACTTATAATGGATACTTTTTTACTTATTAGAATGTAACATATTGGAAGAAAGCGATTTTTCACTCGGATACATTCTCGTAAAGTCTAATATCGCTTTTATTAATAATAATAATAATTTTCGCTACTAATTATATTTATGATACTGCCAAATGGTATCTTCACAACTCACAATTATTCGTCGCATAAAATATTCGCATAACGCCTTCACCTCTTTCATCAACAATATGGAAGCTTGTTTACAAATAAAATAGAGTTCAATTTAGTTATTATCATAATAAAAGTCGTAATCTTCTGGCTCATCTGGTATTTGTGGCGGGTCTTTAGGTATGTCAATACCTTCCGCATCAAGTAATCTAACTTTTATATCCATGGACAACAAAGTTTCCAAATCATTTTCAAATGATTTACTCGACATCTTTTCTTTTAGCAGGGCATTTATGCCATCGGTCCAGTAGTCAAATATCTGCTCATCAGGTGCAACAAAGTCTAAGGAAGTAACTTCAGCAGATTTGATGATCAATGAGAATGCTAAATGTGGTGTTATCTTTCTTCCCCTCAAATCCTTCATATGGGGACAGTCTTTGCCTGTGATCACACATTTTATATCAGTAACAGGCAACTTATTTCCAAGCTCCTCTAAACTTGGAGTACTCTTTTCATCACAGTCCCCATAGTGCAATACTTTATGATTTGGTGAGAGACGGACAAACCAGAATTTGTCTTTGATCCTCTGACCTCTGGCAGAATATTTCTTGAACCTTGTACCCCCAACTAGAACTCCTAACCTTTGTTGTTGAATGAGATCAATGATTTCAGGAGTTATTTTCTCCTTGAGTTCAACTATGGGCCTTGCATGGGACTCCCATACCTCCCTGTTATTTCTCTCTTGTTGCCATAACTGGGTTATTTCAGTGTATGTCAGTTGGTTTATCTTCTGTCTGAACTTGTCAAAGCCTTTGGGGGAAGAGGACAGTGCCCTGCTAATCTGTTCCCGAACCACACTTGATACTTTGATAAAGTCTTCCGCAGTAGCTCTCATTTCTTTCCATGTCTTATTCAATAATACTATGCAAATACAAAATAATTCTTCAAAAGGTCTGTCATGAGTGAAGAACAGTGGATGGTATGTCTGGCCCTGTTCACTGGGAGGATCTCCAACCTTTAGGATGTCACACAGTAGCTTCACCAACTCCACACTTGTCTTGCCAAATGGACATTCATGTTCATCAGCCCTACAACTGTTTTCTAATACAATTTTTGTATAATCCTCCGAGTAGTTCCTAGCAAAGTACAACATACAGTCCAAGGCTAGGACACCCGGTGGAACTTCATTGAAGTCTTTAATTGGATCAATCTCACACTTGAATCCAAGTTTCTTGAAGTCTTTTGAGTATGTACCTGGACGCCTCATGGTAACCTCAATGTTAGGATTATTATCATTTTCAAATGCAACTTTTCTAAGTTCTTTTATTTTCTCCTGTGACTCTTGTTCTTGGGCATCAGCCCTTTGTCTCATTTTAGGTTCCAACAAGCCAAGCATTAAGGTTTGCAGTACATACAGTTGGTGAGCCAACTCAGTGCCTAATCCCTGTTCAGCATTCTTGGAAAATTCACTTGCACCAATGAGGTTTTCATATATTACAGATCTTACTTGCTTGGAAGACAATGTAGCGGCAATGGTTTTTCTCTTTGTCATATCAGCTTTAGAAAATATGGCATTAATGAGTGCTATAGCATTCTGTTGGATAATACTGTCTTGGTGAGTATTCTGTAGGTGTGAGATCAGACTTGGAATAGTAATCTCCTTCTCTACATGAGAATTCTTTGAACTATTAAGTACAATGTTCTCAAGAATTGACAAACAACACTGAATAACCTTAGGATCCTGAGTACTTGCTTGGTTGCTTACAAAGCTGGCTACTTTATTTATAAATTGATTCTCAAGTATGTCCCAGAATATGATTCCATGATCCATTAGCTCCACAAAAGTAATTAGGGCGTATTTGAGCAATTTCCCTTTGAATTTACCATTTTCTATATTACTTATGATCAATGTCAAACCTTTTTTGTTAATAAATTCAAGGGCAAAAGTGAGATCACTGCTTAAAACAGACAATTTTGAGAGGGCAGCGACTTGGTCGGTCTCGGACCCATTGTTTATCTTGCCCAGGATATCCTGCACGGTCTTTGCTGGCGATAATTCCAATCGTAAAACAGATCCATTTTTAATTTCATTCCGATTTTTCTCCGTTATATAATTCTGATTGTTGCTCTCAGAAAATTGTAGAGCATAGTTTTCAGGGTCGGGCAGACCCCAAGGCTTGCATAGAAGTTGTATGATGCTCGATAGAGGCTGACTTTGATCGAATTCTATCAACTGTGGTACCTTGTCGGGAGCATTGAGCATCTCCACAGCGATCTTGAGGATTGTGGAATCCTTTTCCTTTGTTGCCGACGGCATTTTTATTGGTTTAGTAGACATTTATTGAACATTTGACACGAAGACAATCACCACAACACCACACCTCGCGAATTTACGCCTTATTTATTTTCCCGTAAGTTGACGCACGACATCAAGCTGTTATTTGTCAAAATCAAAACTGTCATAATTTTTGCTACGTTTCGTAACTCGCATTTAGTTTTTCATTTCGCGTTTTTAGTCATTTTATGTAATGAAAAAAGAACAACGTATTGTATTATTTTTATTTATTTATTTATTTATATTTAAGAACACTTAAACTATTTTATTTAGTTGTATTAAAATAATACATAATACCAAATTGAACTGGTTGTATTATTAATTAATCATCAACATTGGAGTTCCGCCTTCTGTACGGTCTGTCTATCTCTGTCTGCCTGTCTATCTGTGTTACATGCATAGATGTTACATGAGAACGCCCAAATGAAGGGCTAGTTTCTCATTTTATCTATCTTAGAAAAGATTATAGATGGCTCTTGCCTCTAATATTATAATGTAGTTAGACATGGATTTTATGATACAGATTTTATACAGAAAACCTTCAAGACAAATACATTTTAATCTAAGTAATTAGGGCAGCAATGCGATCCATGTTGATATCTGATATAGCAATGAAACTGTTAGTTATTGCCCTAGTATTTAACAGCTTTGTTAAACACAATTCGCTTATTTATTTCGATAAGATCGTAGTGGGTACTAGGACGTTCTTGAACGATGACGTTGATATTTTATTTGTTTAATTTTTTACTGATATTTAGATTTGCATCTGGTTTTCGGTGTGATCGAAAACCTTATGGCTCCAATACGCAACCTTCAGAACCGGACGGTCGCTTCAAGCTGGAAATTGTAGGCATTGACAATGCTTATATTCCTGAACAGCTTTATACTGGTAAATAAATTTTAGACTTATTGAAAAAACCGTTAGTGACTAAAGGAAAAAATAACTTTTATCCATCTGCCTGATTTCTAAATACCATAGGTATATACTTAGGCTTACATGTTTTACAAACCTTATACTGTATTTCAGTTCAAATAACGGAAACCGACGGGGAGTCCCACTTTACAAGTTTCATGATATCAGCGGAGGGCGACATTAAACCAGACCCTAGGAACCCCAGACGGTTAATATCCATGTACCCTGGAGAACTGAGACCTCAATCTACCACCACTGCTAAATACAGCGACCGCTGCCTGTATTCTGTTGAACAAGCTATGGCTTCCTACAAAACTTCGGTTTCGGTACGTTTCTTAATTTACATTTTATTCCAAATCACTTACTAGTATAAAAACCATCTATACATCATCGGTACATCAGAATTCAGAAGACGGTATTGTCATTTCAATAATTTTGTTCCTCAAACATTTCTCTTAACAGGTCTATTGGCAAGCCCCCTCATCAGGCAATGGTTGTGTCACCCTACGCGCAATGGTGGCGATTAACGATGAGGTATGGTATGAAGATGGAGTTCCTTTGACACAGAAGGTGTGCGAGGATCTGAGCCAGCCTGATGATGTGGCACCGCAACTGAACCTCGAGTGCGGGATCTGTGATGAAGCTAAATATGAGGTGAGAATGACCAATTTCGAGAAGGCTTTTGGAAGACTATTTGTGAAGTACTTGTTCAAAAGATTAATTGCGAATTTTGATTAAATACATTTGTCGAATTATTTTTTGCAGTTAAGCTTTACCGGAATATGGTCGCGAAACACACATCCATACTTATACCCTGAAAACGACTGGTTGCCAAGATACAGCGATCTGGTTGGAGCATCTCACAACACAGACTATACTTTGTGGATGCCGGGAAACCTGGCGTCCGAAGGATTTAGAGATCTGGCTGAACATGCTAATTCCAGTGTCCTTGAAGCTGAGATCCGCGATAAGGTATTACATTGGTACATAATTCAGAATACTATTTTGAGATCTATTTAAGGCATCGTGGCCTCAATCAGTTGAAAAAAAAATATGCTACAAAAAATCAAATAAAAAAGTGACTGATGTGATGAATATTGGTTCTTCGCAGATTGGAGATGGTGTTAGAACTCTAATAAAGGGTAAAGGCCATGGGTACCGTAAGATGTTTCTTCCAACATACTCCTTCTTCCGCGCCGATAAAGAGAACCACTTGTTCTCAGCAGTGGTTGCTTTCACTCCTTCTCCTGACTGGTTTCTGGGAGTAACCAGATTCGAACTCTGTCAAGAAGATAACACGTGGTTGAAGGAAAGGGAGCTTAATCTCTTTCCATGGGATGCTGGTACTGACAGCGGCGTATCTTATGAAGTAAGTTATTATGACCACTATGTGTATGATTCTATAAGGTCCAATAAGCCCGTCAAAATATATTTGTGTCTTTTTTTCAGTCTGCTAACATCGTAACCTACCCTCAGGATTCGATATCTCGCGTTGCAATGAGTTCGTATGACAAAAACTCACCGTTCTATGAAGTGGATATGAAGGACATGCATCAATTCGGCAAGTTTCATATAAAACTGATCCGAACTTACCACAGAGATTGTGAAGAAGAAACTACAGGTATGAAACGGACCCTTAAGTAAATTTTTCGGTTAGCTCCTTACTGATTTTTTATTACTATTTGCAGAAGAACCACCAGCGACTGAAGCACCAAAAACATCGGAAGAAGAACCAGCTGAGACGAGTGAGGAGGCTAAGCCGGAGCCTCCAGAGCCATCCAGGTATCAAACACAACTAGATAGCGCCGAGGACGGGCGGTGAGGCTTAGTTGATGATTTGTAGAATACAAGTAGATTAGCGCAATACCATTATTCATCAATCACATTTTTTCTCACAGTTAAGTGTGCCTCTCCATTCATTCATTTTTTTATGTTCTATTGCCCCTAAAACGTAGAACAAACTGATTTAAACTTAGCATTAACTAATATAAATCGACAACAATCATCAACTCATTACCTATGTGCTACCTGGTTATGTTTGCAATTAATAACATTGTTTGAAGAACGTGTCATAAGTAATGTACATTCGATATAAGATGCTAAATATGAAAGACTGATGAAGGAACAGCAATTGCAACGACCAGTAAATGTGCTGACAGTAAATCTTTGTCACAGCGAGTCTCCTTTAGTCACTGAAGCGGAAGTGGTGACCGTAGCTCCAGAAAACTGTCCCATGTCTAAATGGCAAGATTGGAGTGCTTGTGATGGGGAGTGTGAGGATGGAAAAGTTGTTGGCATCCGATGGAGAGAGCGATATCATCTGGTGGATGGAATCCCTGTTGAGAAGTATGATCCTCATGTAAGTCTACCACGTGTTTAATATTTTAGCTGTACTTCTTTAAGGCTGTGCCTCTGCGCTGTATTTTCGCGGAGTGGGCAGTTTTTTTTAAATTAAAGTTCCTACCTGAAGCATTAGAATATAAAACATAAACGGGCCCCTATTAAAGGTAATATTCTTCTTTTACAGGCTAAGCACCATCCCAGAAAGGAAGTATCGAAGTACTGTAAGGCTCACGTAGTAACCTTCGAAAAGGAAGCTTGCGAAGATGAATGCACTAATTCGGAAGAAGAGGACGATCTTACTGGTTCATATAATTACTTACTTACTTTTAAAATGTTTTAACTGCTTGTAGTTCACGCAGGCACAGTTATCCTGTCTTGGACTATATTAGATCTTTGAATGCAATGACTATGTGTGCCCATAACGACTGATAAAATATGTATTGACCTTTTTGCAGTTGAGCGTAGAATCATGGCACCCGTGCTTCCTGGGGGAAAGTGGCACTCGAAGCGAAGAGATTTGAAGATGAAGAATAACATCTATACTAACACATACAGTAACAATTAATCTTACCTATCAAAGAAAATATTTTCATCATAGATATTATAAAGAAGTTTCATTAACTTATTAATTAAGTACTCTGTATTGTGTAAGGATAATAAATATTTTTTAAATTATTATTTGACTTTGATTATCCAAAGAACCACTTAATTTGGTTTAAAACGAAGTCCACATATGTATCAACCAATTTCTGTGCATAGACCTCTTAAATAGTAGTCTATTGAGCTCAGCCTTCAGCTGTTCAAATTCAACCATAGCAGCTACATCCATTTCTCTCTATTAACTAGTGGTGCCTCGTTTACCTGCCTTAAACTGTCAAACACCAAGCGGTCACCGGTGACCGCAACCTATTGTTCTATAATTGTGTCTATAATGACGGTACTCAACGAGTTAATCTAGGTACTAATTACTCCAGAACACGTCTTCATCAACAGTCATTGGTTCTGCGACAAACGTCGCCGGCCCACTGCCGCTCAGTTTTGCCAAGTTAACATTACGTTTCATCACTTTAGATTGGGGCACAGACAGGGCAATAATAATGAAATAGGACACCTTGATGCTGTGGTCTAAATTCCTTGTTTGAGTACTAAAACTATGACTCGACTCAATGCAAATGCATGAGCATTGACGCAGAACAATATACTTATTAACCCTTTTCCTCTTGTTCCTAGAACAATCTCGTAAAAAATAAATATTTTGAGATATAAATATCATCCTTTTGCGTCATAATGTTCATCTGTGGACTTTACGTAGAGGTTTAAAAGGTTATAATCCTCTGGCAGCGTATTTCAGGGCGTTAATTAGTGTAAATTACGCGGGAGATGCAACAGGACCATTATACTAATTTGTGGATGAATGGTTTAGTAACACGACGACCTGTGACCATATGACACCTACTCCGAGTTTATTTATGAAAGGAATAAAGTGAAAATGGATATAGTTGGTAAGTTTTTTTGGTCTTTTTGTCCTCTTTTTCGCCGAATATCAAACCTTCGCTTTTTTGAATACATTTTAAGTCATCTGGAATTTCTGCCGGCGTTGGGTAGGACCAGCCAAGGAAATAATAATTGGTTGTTCCTACCTCCTTAAATAAATTCAGGGAAATATGCTACATTACTATATGCCTGTTATGTGTGCCTGAGGTGTTCCTTTTAAATTTTTCATTCATAAACATTAAACCTGACCATTTTAAACCGAACGCTGTAGGTTATTGTTTTACAGGACCCTTTGTGTTTATACTGACTCATTGCCGACCAAGACAGGCATAATAGAATGTTAATGTAGAACT